CAGGCTTTCATTAGCTGTTGTATAGTGCTATTGAAAAGTGCTTAATTAACTACAGTATCATAAACTTGGAATTTGTATCAGAGATTATACTTAAAATATGCATGCATAATATTAAAAATTGCCCGAGCAATTAGTTACTTCATATTCATGTTTTTATACCGTTGTCGAAGTTTTTATGATTTTTATCATATGTAAGCGACGAACAAATAGAAGAATCTTTAACCTCATAACTCATACATAATACACAGGCCACCAAAAGCAATCATTACTGATTTACTTAAATATAGTGTTACATTTTTAATTTTATAATATATCTGCTGTACCGTATTTATTAAGATTTGATCTGGAATTTGCGCATTGTATTAAAGTAAACGTACGGCCTTACCCAAATTGTCTCAAAAACATATGCTGCCTTTTATATTCGTATATTAGTAGTGAATTGTATTGACCAACAAAATATCATTGAAAATGTTTTTTATTGCTTATAAAAATATTACCCAAGAAGATCAAAACCCATTTTCAAATGTTATAACCAATTATCACAGTATTTTTGCATTGGGAAGGATGTTTTTATACCAAATGAGTATAGGGGTATATTCGATTTGTGGTGAAAGTGGATTTGTGTAACGCAAAGAAGGAAGCGTTTCCGACCCCATAAAGTATTTTTCTTGATCAGCATCAATAGCCGAGTCGAATGAGCCCTGTCTGTCTGTCCCGTCTGCCCGTCCATATGAGCGCCTAGTGCTCAGAGACTATAAGAGCTAGAGCAACAATATCCGCACTCCTGTTAGATCTCACTGTTACATGTGTATTTTAGGCCTCAGTCCGCTCGCAGTCCCATTTCTCGGGGCGCTGTGTGGGCTTCTGGATGTCTCGATCCTCCTGCCCTGTAGCCAAGATCGCGTTCTCGTAGTCATCCTGGTCGGCAGTGCGTTCCGAACGGACCCGTTCCGGGTTCCGTTCCGGGTTCCGCTCCCACGCTATCTCGGCGTCGGCTAATGGCTCTAGTTTGTAGTCCATGGTGGAGATCTTGGTGTTCTCCTCCTGCGGTGTCGGGGTCCTTGGCTTACGGGATGTTTCGTCTCGCCTGGTCTCGCCTGGTCTCGGCGGTCACGGTGGACGCGGGGCGAGTCGGTTCCGGGCTTCGAGTCGCGCTGCTGTGGGTCGTGTCGGTTGTGCGTGTTGGTTCTGCTGGGTTGCCATGTGGCGACTCCCGGTTCGATGAGCTGGCCCTGGATGGTTGCAGCGAAGCCGCAGATATCTCTGCCGTCCGACCGGTGACTTACGGTGTCCGGTGGCATTGGGGTCTGGGTCACGATCAACTGAAGATTCTTTTCCCCTCCCTTTTTGGCTCAATTTCCTGACCCAGGGGGACGTGGCTGGGCTCCGGTGGTTTCTGGGGCTCGGGATTTTTCCAAAGTGCGTGGCCAATTCCTCCATCCTTGCTTGCACTGCTCCTTGGTGTCCAGGGCGCACGATGAAGGCGGTGAGCCGGCTTCAAAAGTCCTCTACTGTGCCAGTCTGTCCTAGTCGTTCCATATTAAGAACCGGAGATCCTAGTTGAGTATTTGTAGCCCCTAGCCAGGAGTTGTGATGCTCTGGAGGGATACACGGTAGTGCACGGCACTGGGGCTGGTTATCCGTTCGAGGCATACACGACACGGTACTGTGGACGGGTGATCCTGGGTGAGGATACTAGGTATGGTACTATGGACTGGTTATTTTCGATGGATATGCGGCACGGTACTGGGGACGGATGATCTTGGATCAGGATACGAGGTTTGGTACTTGGGACTGGTTATCCTTTTGAAGGATACGCGTCACGACACTGTGTGAGGTTACCTGATCGATTGAAGGCTCGAACTTGTGTTGTAGGCTTTGTAGGAACTGCTCGGATGCTCGGTGGTAACTGCTCGGAAGCTCTGCGGTAGCTGCCCGTATGCTCGATGGCAACTGCTCGGAAGCTCTGTAGGAGGATCGGTGGGGACAGCCTGGACGCTTGGTGGTGACTGTCTCGGTGGGAACTACACATAGGGGCTACACATACTCAACTAGGATCTCCGATTCTTAATATCACCGCACACGTCCGTTAGTCGTGTTCCCACGACCTCGCAGAAGGTCACCGGAGGTCTGCCGTGCTTTGGCGCTCTCACGCCTAACTACAACCCCACCCCCCCCCACGCAACCTCCAATGCCTTAATTTTGGCCGCTTCAAAATCCAACAGAAGGAATCGAGAGCTAGGGTGACACGTGTCGTAGACAACATGTGATCATCGAGTCGTGAGTACGAACATATCCGCGAAATAACAGGGTATAGCAGCGGTGCAGCGCAATGAAAGGGAGAGCGTGATAACTCACACGCCAAGAGTGAGCTTTTGTTGCTTTGCCTTTGTCTTATTCTTTTCTTTTGCTTGCATTCTTTTGGTTGCACTTCCATTTATTTAGACTTAAAATGTAAAATCATATAGACATATGTATGTATATATATTAAGGAAGATCGTTTCTATAGAATTCATTTCTTTATCATATTATATATTAAGCTAATTTCCTAATTAGGCTCGGTGTAAGTTCACTTAATTTTTATAATATGTCGAGCACAAGGAAGGCAATTGCAAAAGGTGTGGACACAGTTTCACCAGACGCTCGGGTTGAAGGTAACAACATGAAAGTACTTGTACTTGTACTTAGCGTCTGTGGAAATCTACGAGTGAATGCTATTGAAACATCATCACGCCACCTTGCAACAATCACCCCCCTCTATATCCTGCAGCAGTTCGTTCATTGATACGTTCCGAGGAGGTGCGAGAGGACCCCGTCTGCGGTTTACCTTTGCTGACAAACCTAAGGGACGTTGACGTCCCTGAAGCGGTACTGCATTGTTGCATCTGTGTGTGCGGAGCTTGCTTGCTTTTAGGAATGAAAACGACTTTGGTCTGAAGCCAGGTGTCAGGGATGTGCCTGTGGGAGAAGACTCCCTCGTAGATCCTTTTGTCCCAGTTAATGTCTTTTTGTCCAGCGTGAATCAGTTTGGCAGGGATGAATCCATCTGTTCCTTCAGACTTTAAGGGCTTAAAGCATTTAATTGCACGGAAACTGTTCTCCTGGCCTAAAAGGTTAAGGAAAGCACTTAAGGTAACAGAAGAGGTGCAGTAATTAGGTCTGTTTTCATCGCAGCCAGGGAAATGCGTTGTCCAAGACTGTCTTTGAGAGAACTGTGAATCTTTTGAATAACTCAAGCCCAGTTATGATCGACTTTTAAACATGTAGTTTTGTTGTAGGCGTTCTTAAATGTTTAACCAAGACGACTCGTGGCCTCTCTTGAAATTTCGTCCTCAGGGGGAGACTCAGGAAGAATACGGCCCAGTTGATCTGAATTTCGAGTCCTTATTGTCCGCCTGAGGTTCCGGAATTTACCTCGGCTCGGTAGGGAGAAACAGAATAAAATTTCCACGTACCATTGTTCCGAGGACGAGTCTTCTTCAAGGACCCTCCAGAATACTATGTTTTTCTGTATCTTGTGAGAGGCAAGTGTGAGGTCCAGGACCACTGGCTATTATTTAAGGAATTTTTTATTTAGTATTACGTATTACGTTACATAAATCATAAAACCATATACATATAAGATGTATAGATAGAAGATAAGAATGCTAGTAGTTTGCTGAAAAAAATTTGTTTTATATGTACATAGCTTAGCAAAAATAATACAATTTGGATCGACATATCAAAAGGCTTTCCCAGGATTTCTGGGTTTCATTTCTCTTAAGCTGGGTTGCCACCAATTCGTTAAACATCGAGGGACGTTGTGAGTTGCTGCGGAGACCGCAACTCTACATTTATACCCGATACTTGGACAATATAGCTCTCCTCCGGCAGACGCCGCTAATATTAAAGGACACGACAAAGACTGCGTGCGAGAGAGACAGAAAATCAGTCTGACCGTGACGTCGGGTGCTGCGTAGCCACTGCACATTGATTCGTTCCTTTCGGCTATAAAAATGATCTGATCTGATCCAGATTCAGCAATCTGATAGATATGGTCATTATCTATGATTTTGCCTTTTTAGTTTTCTCAGATCTGCAATATTATGGATGCAACAGATTTTCTTTCTTTGTGGGGGCGCAAAGGGGGTGGGGCGAAATTCTGAGATATACGTTTTATAGTGAGATATAACAGGAGTAGGGATACCAAATTTGGTTACTCTAGCCTTCATAGTCTCTGAGATTTGTGGATGCTGCAGATTTTCGTCCTTTGCGGGGGCGGAAGGGGGTGGTGCGAAATTTTGACACAAAACAATCAAGGTCCGATTTCACAGGAGTGTGTATACCAAATTTGGTTGCTCTGGCTTTTATAGGTTCTGAGATCCTTGAACTCATATTTTGCAATTGGCAAAACCGTCCATGAAACACAGAGACACAGAGCGAGAAAGAATGAAATTGTTTTCTTGATTCTGGCTATAATAATTATACGATCTGATTCAGATTTTGCACTCTAGAAGGTATAGTCATCTACTACGATTCTGCGTTTTTTGTTTTCTCGTATCTTTGAAATTGTGGATGACACAGATTTTCGCCATTTGGGGAGGCGCAAGTGGGCGGGGCAAAGTTTTGAAATATTCTTGTAACAGTGACATATCACAGAAGTCCGGATACAAAACGTCGGTGCTCTAGCTCTTATAGTCTTTGAGCACTAGGCGCAGATAGGGACGGACAGACAGACAGGGCTCGGCTATTGATGCTGATCAAGAATATATATACTTTATGGGGTCGAAACGATTCCTTCTGGTCGTTACACACATCCATTTTCACCACAAATCTAATATACGCCAATACTAAAGTATCGGGTATAAAAAAGTTGGAATGTAAATTAATTAAACAATAGATGTAGCTCATGGCTTTTATCTGCGAGGAGTTTAAAGGTTTCGTTCACAATTCTAGCCCCACTCATTTTGTTTTAATTTTTAATTAAATATTAATTTAGTGCGTATTACAGATTATCAAATATGCTCCGGATACTTGATGAGGATTTTTCTAAAGACATTAAAGATTCTGGTCATGAGGGAGTAGTTCAACAAGAGGAGCAAGAAGATAAAGAGAGAAGATACCATATTTCTCTCACGGATATTTGCACTGACAACCTTAAAAATACTAGCTTTCAACAATCTGGATTTTTAAACAATACAATATCATTTGCTTCTCATATCGTAAAGTGTAGCTCTCCAATTTCGAGCTTTGATGAATCAATATCTACTGGTCCACTCGGAACACATTCACGAATGCATATATCCCAAGGTCAACACACAATAAACCCTATTTCGGAACATAGCTTTTACAATATGCCTGAATATATTTCGGAGCAAGAAAAGCATATTTTTTCAGATTCGGAGCGGTTCTTAAGGTCAAAAAATAAAGATGTATGCAGTAATGAGAATGACTATGTGCATGATGAATTTACCATGCGGAAATACTATCACCCTCTCTTTGCACACGGAGTTTGCCGGTGGCCTGGTTGTGAAATGGACCTAGAAGATATAACATCATTTGTAAAGTAAGTAATGAATATATATATATTAAACCAACTTCACTAATTTTTACTTTCGGGCGAGACTATAGTTATCCAGTTATCATGTTTTAAATCTTTGCGTGTTTGTATTTTCTTTATATATTAGTATTGTGGTTTGGAATTTAGGCACGGTACGTTTGATTTTCCTCGCTCGATCGAAAACTGACCTCGCGCTCTTTTTTTTATTATTCTAATTTCTCAGAGCAACGACATTTTGTAATCAGATTTTTGTGATATGTCGCTGTTACAAGTGTATTTCAAAACTTCGCCACGCCCTTTTCCGGACCCACAAAGGACGAAAATTTGTGGCATCCAGACTATTTACGCTAGACGAACCAAATTGGGTATCCATACTCCTGTTAGATCTCACTGATGCAAGTGTATTTAACAATTTCGCCCCACCCTCTTTTGCCCCCATAAAGGACGAAAATCTATGGCATGCACAATTTTGAAGGTACATATTTTGGTATATCTACCAGACTGCTGAATCTGAATCAGATCTGATCAATATTATAGCCAAAAGGAAAACGTCAATTTGCACTGGCTACGCAGAGCCAGAGGACACGTTCTGCCTGTTTTTTTCTTTGTCGGACTCTCTCGTTGTCGTTCAATGTTATCGCCTTCTGCCGAAGGAAAGACATAATGAATATGTATCCGGTATATATGTAGAGTTGCGGTCTCAGCAGCAACTCACAACGTTCCCCCAAGTTGTAAATTATTATATATAAACATTTAATATTTTATTGAAATTCTGTTGCGCTATTAATGGATTTAATGCTTTGGGGAATATTTTTCACCCAAATACCCCCATATGTACATACGCGATAAGTTGGTTTACATACGCAAATAAATTGTGAATTACAACCTCTCGACTTTCATTAAATTCAAAACAGCAACAGTTATTAAAAACGTTTAATAGCTTAACATTTGGTGACCCCGACGTGATTGTGCAACAAATAATCCATCAGTGTAATCACAAACTAATATAGCATTCAAAGGTCTAAATTAATTGCCATCTCAACCAGTGTCATCGACCACATAAGTTATCTATACAAATATGGTCATCTTACCGCTAGAGACGTTGCTCTCCCTGGAAATTAATGCTGTTAACGAAATTCCAACGACCAGTAAGCAGAACAGGGTGTCTTTTTTGAAGTTTAAGTCAACGGAATTATGCGAGAATATGAAAAGGCTTCATTCTACCTTGGCTGAAGGAAACACTACGGTTGAGTTTGCCGACTCCCAATTTCTACCACACCGTTGACAGGTACCGTAGAATTGGTCTTTCAGGCACATATCAATTCGACCTTGGCGGTCCAGGCTGTGGAACCTAGGTCAGTGGTTATGCTTCGGGAGCTTTCGGACAGGTTAAATTCTCATATGGGTGCTCTACAGGGCTTGGGAACTACTGAGCAGATCGCAGGATGCATCGTCGTGCATGAGCTTCTCTGAAGCTCGATCTGCTAATTGGCGCAAGTCTGTTTTACGAGCTCCTGTGTGTTGGTCAGGTCAAGCTACTGCCAGGATTGCCTTTAATTCAGAAAACGCGCTTGGGATGGGTCGTGTCTGGAGGTTGTTACCGTTCAAAGGGTGCCTCTTTGAAGGTCTCTCGCGCACGGGCCGTAGCTGCTGAGGAAAATAGTTCAGAGGATCGGCTTGAGGTGCTTTTTCGGAGGTTTTGGGAGGTAGAAAATTGCATCGAACCAATAGTAAAGTCTACCAAAGAAAAGCTAGATTGTGAAGCACATTTTGTGCAGCATTTCCGTCGACTACATGAAGGCGATTATTGTGTTCGGATGCCAGCTAAATATAATTTGGATCTCCTTGGAGAATCTTACAATCAAGCGTTTCGTAGATTCCTGACCCTTGAGAGAAAGTTAGTCAGTATGCAGCATTCATAAAGGAGTACCTTGATTTAGGCCATATGTCTCAAGTTCCTGCCCAGTCAATCAGCAGTCAGCAACTGCCGATATTTTATGCCTCACCATTGCGTCATGAAGGAAGATAGTTCTACGACCAAGCTTCGCGTCGTTTTTGATGGATCCGCTTCAACTTTATCTGGATGACAGCCGTGTTATTAAAACTTTAGGAATTGCTTGGCATCAGGTTTCTGATCAACTGTTTCTATCGTTTCTACGATTCTAAATCCTAAATTACTAAATCCAAAATTTTTTTCCGTCGTTTGTGCCAAGATAAGTTTTCTGGGATGAAGCTTTACAATCGCAGTGAAAGCCGACTGGCAAGAAATATGCACCAGTTTTGGCCAGATTCGTTGACTTGAATTTCCTCGGCTTGTACTCCTTCCAGAAAGCTACGGATTTTCCGATGCCAGCATCGAGGCTTATGGTGCATGCATATATGTCGTGTCAAAGGGTCAGCAAGTTCTTTTGATCACCTGTTTATAAACCCAAGCACGCCCATGGCCTTATTTACCGTGGTAGAAATGTGTTCGGAAAACTTTAACTTTTCGTCTAATAAGACACCAAGATCATTCACCTGGGTAATTCTCTCGAGAGAACCGCCACATAGGGTATAGGTAGCCAAAAAGGGGCTAGAACTATGAAATGTCCTAAACTTTGCATTTCGAGGAATTAAGGTGTAATAAGTTTTCACAACACCATGACTGAAAGTTATTGAGATCGGATTGCAAGCGAGAATGAAATGAGATACTATATACTATATTTCTCCCAATAAACAGGAAGTAGAGGATTATTTTAAAGAAATAAAAAAAAACAAAAAAACATTTTCTTGTTTTAAATTTTTTTTAATTATGTTAAATTGTAATTAGTATTACATACTATATACTATAACATACAAACTTAACCAACAGCACTTTACAAATAAGGAAAAAAACGACACATATTCATTTTAGGAGGTGCAATATCTGAATATCTGTGGATATTAAGTTTATTTATCTAAGTAAATCGAAATGTCTTTTTGACTTCATCTTAAAAAAATGATTATGTAAAAATTTATTCAATTTGAAATCTAAAATTCTCTACATTTTTCTAGGCATCTTAATTCGGAACATGGATTGGATGATCGGTCAACTGCTCAAGCTCGTGTACAAATGCAAGTTGTTTCTCAATTGGAATCTCACCTACAAAAAGAAAGAGATCGGTTGCAAGCTATGATGCACCACTTGTATCTGTCTAAGCAACTTTTATCGCCAACAAAGGCGGATCGAAAGGTACTGTCTGAGATCACAATTATTTTATAATTCAGTATTTTTCTATTCGTTTGAGCATCGTGAATTATCACATATTTATTATAGATAACTTACTTGTATTCGTATTGGAAACCTGTATATGTTCGGCTCCTGTCCAGCTCTCAGTAGAAGAAGCCTAATATATTTGGGTTCGCCCCTTTAAACAGCCATTTCAGAAATGTCTACATTGTGTGTCAGGAAGATCTGGATAGGATAACTGTTGTCACTATGTCTGACCATCTTGACTAATTATATCGATTAAATAAAACCCGGCGCATATATAAAATTCCCACTTTTAGTTTATCGCGCGACATCCAAATTGCAAGTGTAGCTTGCTTGCCCTTTACGTTGTCGCTCCGATCGCTAAGCGCAGCTTCGCTCGGCATACATAGATAAGCTGAAGCTAAGCGTAGATAACGAAGACCGATCTTCGAGAGAACGTTTAGCAGGGCGAACCACTCTCCTTTGTTTTTACTGTTCCGCTTCAAGCGTTTTTCAGTCACATTGGTCTAATAGATATTTGTTTTGAAATGTGGTATTTATTTTTTAAGAAGCGTTCGCAATAGTATTTCCTGTGGTCTGTGCAAAAAAAAAAAGCAAGAAGGTGATCACCCATAATCAACCAAGTATCCCCTCCTGGCTCTGCGATAGGTTTTCGGGCCTCTTTGGAGATGCTATCTCGAATTGTAATGGTCTGCATTACAGTTGTGAGCTATGTAATGCGGAATAGAATGACATGGTCATAATTATGATTCAGACGCGGAAAGGCTTTTATTTTCCCGCTACTATTTGGTCTTCAGTAAGCGAGTATATGTTCTTATCAGTATGGTAGTTTCACTATTGGAAAAAACTCAACTAATATGGGAGACCAGGCAGCAGAGCGAGCCCGAAAATCAGCAGCAGAGGCAATACTCCAGAGCACACGATCCTCCGAAGTGCAGGGAACGAATAGTGAACTCACTAAAGCAGAGACACCGAAAGAATAGTCCAAAAAGAAGAAGAATGTAGGCTAAAACAGTTTTACTGCTTCGTAAACTGTAAGCGTAGAACGTCCGCACACCCATCCTCGCTATCATTTTGTAATACGTCGGCAAATGATGATCAGGCAATTGCCGATCTTTTTGCCCAATTTTTCCAAACCACCTATTCTGAGGAAAGCTACTCTGGTCATCCGTACCCATACGGCTTACCGAGGTCGAGGTCGGTTTTCAGTCCCTTGTTAAATGAATGTTCCCTACTTCAGGATCTTCGACTAGTTAAGCCGGTGTTTTCACGGGGTCCAGACTGGGTTCCAGGTTGTGTACTCAGGTACTGCGCCGAGGCTCTGTGTGGACCTTTTCTTAAACTATTCAACCTGTCCATTGATTCTTCTTGCTTCCCCCCGATCTGGAAGGAATCCTCTCCATAAAAAAGGTAGCAAGTCTGATGCAAAAAATTATAGAGGTATAGCAAAGTTATCCGCTATTCCTAAAATGTTTGAGAAGGTTTTAACTCCGCACATGCAAAATCTCTGCAAGTCACTTATATCTCCAACTCAGCATGGATTTATAAGGCGGTTATAAAACTCCACGAACTTGTTAGAGTTTACCTCTTTCATTATCAAATGCTTTCAAGGTAACTACAGACGGATGTTATTTACACCGACTTCAGTAAAGCATTCGACTCTGTAAACCATTCCCTTCTAGCACATAAACTTGACCTTTTAGGGTTTCCGCCCAACCTCCTGAGATGGATTTCTAGCTATATTTGTTCCAGGTCTCAAAGAGTCCTCTGCAAAAACTCCCTCTCTTCACCAGTAAAGGTTTCTTCGGGAGTACCACAGGTCAGCCACTTGCCTTCGGTATTAACATCCTCTCGAGTACTTATGTATGCGGATGTGTCTGTGTCCAGTACAAGGACATCCCATTTCATTCTCGCTTGCAATCCGATCTCAATAACTTTCAGTCATGGTGTTGCGCAAACTTGTTACACCTTAATGCCCTTTGTTGGCTCCCTATACCCCATTTGGTGGTTCTCTTAAGAGGATTATTCTGGTGGATGATTTTGGTATTATATTAGACGCCAAGCTAAAGTTATCGGAACATATTGTTACCGTAGTCAATAAGGCCATGGGCGTCCTCAGCGACCACAAAAAATCCCGAGTAACGAGTTTTAAGCGATTTTGATAAGATTTCGAAAACTAGATTTTTTAAAGTTCAGACGAATTCTATATTATTCTAGTCTTGCTGTGCGACAAACTTTTTTAAAATTTTTTGTTGAATCTGTTGATAAGAATTTTGAAATTGTAATTTTAGGATATATCCGGAAAAGATGGAAATTATTGCAGAATGACCAGTCCACTTACAATGAATAGTTTAGGACGCACAATTCGACAATCAAATTCTCCGAGCTCTATTAATCTACCCATGGTTAATTCAACAAACTTGTGCACAATCAAGAAAAGAAGTATGGATAAAACAGCGTTTTCAATAAATGGTGGTATGTACTAAATTGAAAATTGTATATTTGTAAACTGGTTATATCATTATGTTATTTCATAACTATAGCAACGTCCGTACTGACGCGTCCAAAATTTAGGGAACGAATTGTTTTGAATAACACCAAATAGAACGTTTGTGGAGATAATGTTTTTTATCCCCTATCGGCCGACTAATTATTTCGAATTAAATAAAACTCGGCGCAGAAATAAAATTACGATATGTTCTTTAATGCGTGACATCCAAATTGCAAGTGTGGCTTGCCTGCCCTTTACATTGCAGCTCCGATCGCTGAGCGCAGCTTCGCTCGGCCGACGTCGGTAGGCAGACGCAAAGCGGAGATAGCGAAGAGCAAGCTGGCAAAGAGCGTTTAGCAGGGAAAGCACGCGCAAAGCTTTAAGAAACAAATGAGTGACATAGACATAAGTAACAAACAAAATAAGCGACTGAGGGCCAAGAATTAGGTGATATTTGGCAAGCAAGCAATCAGCTGAAGTGGCGTTGTCACAGCAAGATAATTGCCGAAGTGGCGGCGGTAGAGAGCCCTTTTAGCGGGAGAGCGCAGCAGCTCTGCAGAAAATCAACGCTTGCAAAACATAATCGGCTCACTTTTCTCATACAATAAAATGCTTCATTTACGGTTATTCTTCGGAGCCTGGCCCGAACACCGTTGTTGATGCAATGATTATGAACTTCAGCACGATGCTTCTCGCTCATAAATAGCCGCCGAAGGTGCTCTAACTAGGTCCTTGTGCCCACAAAATTGGTGGCATTATCCGACCAAATGCATCGGGGAAAACCGCGCGTGGCAACGAAGCGTTGGAGGGCGCTCAAAAAGGCAGCAGTGGTTAGGTCCTTCACCAATTCCAACCAGACGGCCTTTATTGCAAAACAGATGAACACGCAGAAGTAAGATTTCATCGGAGCTTGACTGCGCCCATCTGGCTGATAGTGGAAGGGACCACAGTAGGCAATTCTAATGGTATTCCTTCGGTAGGTCAGCCATGATGTGTTCGACAGGACGAGGTTTGGACCGCCAGCAGATGACGTATTTTCGCAAGGCGAGAGCCACAGCTTTCAGGCCGCCGATGGGCCAAAACTGTAAGCGAATCGCTCCAAGTATCGTCTGCGGACCAGCATGGTGAATATTTCGATCAAAGTGCGTAATGCTGGCGAACGTCAATGGATGATCATTGAGTAAAATGATTGGGTGGAGTGCGTCGAAGCCGAGAGTTGAGTGCCGCAGACCAAAGTCATCTATGAACGGTGAAACCGAGATGATTCTGCTGGAAGCCTATACGCATTTCCCTTTCCGCAGAGCAAGCTACTCAGGCTTGAATGGTGGGACCAGACATAAGCAGATCATTTAACGAAAGGCCAGATGTGGTATCTGCAGAGCCGTCGAATACGAACCTTAGCTTTGTTGTGGAGCTGTCCTCTGTGATGACGCAATGATTTGGCAAAAAATATTTGCACTTGTAGCTATCTTCCTTCCTTCCTTCTAATTCTCGATAGAAGTCAGCTCAGTTTCACTATAAAGAACAGCTGTGAACATGGAATAGAAGCTTGTCCACTCTGTATAGTCTCTGCTGAACTTGGGAAGCTGCAGCTGTGGCAAGCGCTATCGATTGGCCGTGTCCATAATGGATTGGGATTCACTTTGGTTCATTTGAAACGTGGAACAATGCGTGGGCGGCGAACGATTGCCCAACTCACGCTGTAGAATGGTCCTCCATGATAGTATGGACGAGTCAAATATTCCTGGTATTTCACTGGACATAGATTCAAAATCCACTTCCTCGAAACTGGTGTGTGCCACAATAAAATTAGATTTCAGCTCCGTCAATGATTCAAACAATCCTCGCCATTCATATTCATCCATTTAGCGCAGCTTTTCACGATCCATCTCTGTGTGCATGGACTCTGTCGAAAATGTCTGTAGTCTTCAGCCTCATGAAGGAAATCCGCGATGCAGGGAATTGGGTGGCGACTGCGTTCGACCCTTTCACTAGGTCGAGCATCACCAACTGTCACTGTATCGCTATCATTGCCCATAGCCAACGATCCACTCGATCTATTTTTTTTCCTTTTGCCCATGGTTTTGGCTACATATTGTTGACGCGGAATGTATGAGTCGATCACAGTTGAATAAAAATTACGCAACGCGAGAGTTCAGACGAGTTTACAAAACGTTTTTCGTTCACTCACTGCCACGGTCGGCCACAACGATCTTTGGTTCGCTAGTTTTCAGCAAATGTCACGTTAAACCTTCGAATTGGATTTAACGAACTGTACGTAAACCACTAACACACGACAAGTCAACGGCTATCACGTCGGGGTCACCAAAATGTTGGAAGCTGCCAAGCTTTTTCGGCAACTCTGACTCCACATTTACCAATTAAAAAATGCTCCTTTGTTAAGGTTACAATTGGGAGTTCATTGTTTGTATGTTGTTGTTAGAGGCCGTGGCCGAGGATTTCGAATTTAGATGTTAGGCGTTTTGGGCGAAGAAGAGGATTACCGACCGACTGCCTCGAAGAGGAACGACCGACTAGACAGATGGAAGGGTCGAAGCAGTGGCTTATAAAAAGTAAGAACATTACATAGGTGTGTGCTTTATGCACTGAGAGCGTACATAGGATGAGCGCGATAAAAGAAAACTTAAGAGAGACGTGACTTAAGAGCTATTAACGGCTGCTGCTCCGAACAGAGGTCGTTGGATTCCTTTGACCACCTTATTTACTACGGTAGAAATGTGCTAATATCAAATATCTAATATTATCGAACAGGGTATTTCTCTCAACAGAAGTACCGCATAGGGTGTAAGGAGCCAACGAGCGACTGAAACGATGAAGTATCATTACTTTACATATCGAGGTATTAAGGTGTAACAAAAGTGCATCATGACTGAAAGTTATTGAGATCGGATTGCAAGCGAGATTGAAGTGAAATGTCATTATATTGGACACAGAGCTTAAAATTATCCGCATGCATGAGTACTCGAAATTATGTTAAAACTGAAGGCAAGTCATTCATAAAGAGTGTGAAAATTAAGGGGCCTAGATGGCTGCCCATTGGTACTGCAGAAGTAACCTTCATTGGTGAGGAGAAAGGGTGTTTGAAGAGGATTCTTTGGGACCTGGAAAAAAGGTAAGGTTTTTGTTTTTGTGCTAGAAGGCAGTGGTTTTCAGAGTCAAATGCTTTATTGAAAATAACAGACGTCTGTTAGTTTCCTTGAAAGCCTTTAGTAATGAAAGAGGTGAACTGTAATAAATTTGTGGTAGTTGACCGCCGCCAAGAAAACCGACACATGTCTAATTTTGTACACAAATTGAATGGCATGCACTCGTGGTAAGTATGGGCTTTAAGATTGTAGACTGGTTGGAGAGTTAACTAACATATTATTTTGTCAAAGCACCGGCGGCTTATGCAAAATAAAATGAAAAAAGTAGCGCAAAACAAAAAACATAGACAAAGTGCAGTTACATAAATCATAATACTGCATTTTTATATAAAAACTGAGTAGCAAATAGAAAGAAACGACGTCAGGATCGGATTTATACTAATTTTGTACTTTATTTTTAGGCTTGCCATATATGCTAGAGAGAGCTGGGCTTGATGTACAACAAGGTGAGTGTAGGATGTGTCCAGCTTGAATCGGAAAAGAGCAGTGCTCTGGGAATTAAGGCCGTATAGCAGTACAAAAACTAGACTCTGTTATATACTCATAGTGTTATTAGCAATACTTTATGTTATTAATTTTTCTTTTCAAATTCATTCAAATCATAATTTCAATTATGTAGATAATACAAAAAAAAAACACTGCACATGAATAACAAAATATTTTAGGATGGTTCAAAAACGTCAGTTTTTATGAATTTATATGATATTTTTGTATTTATTTATTGAATTAACCTGCTGCCCCATATACCACGGGCTCCACACACCAGAACAATGCTCCAATACCGGACTCACTTACAAAGTATACACCAGCGTAGCGGTGACAGGTTGTCCTCATAGATGATGACCAACGTACCCTCGGTGAGGTTCGTTGAGGGTGCTGTCAACTTCGTGCGCGATCGCAATTTGTTGACGTAGTCAGCAGACCATTACTTACAAAACCGTCAAGCAACGGTAATCGTAATCGTATCGTAGCGGTCCATAATTGACAGCTTGATATTCTCGAGGGACATCTCAGGTAGTGATCGCAATGATTCGCCAACCAAGAGATGCCCAGCCGTGAGAGTGCCATAGTCATTTAGGTCTGACGAAAGCGGTGATAACGGGCGCGACTTGAGGAAACACTTTCTGGGCCTTGGACCCACCAACATGCTCCTACTACATGGATGTGACTGTCGAAAGTTACACGTGCATCCAGTGTAACTCTGAGGAATGTGTGATTCCTACGCTGCACCACGAGTTTCCAAAGCAGAAAGAAACCAGGGTGTGCGTCACCAATGCACATTTATAAGGGTTTATGGAGATGTTCCATCGGCAGGCCAAGCTTTCAAACAGCTTGAGGCATTGCTGTAGATTGCTTGTGGCATCATAGACATAGCTAGCCCTCGAGAGTACTGTTGTGTCGTCAGCAAATGTTGCCACCTTGACGATCTTCCCTGGTTGCCTTTGGACAGTAGTGGGATTTGGTATGTCGTGGGTGAATAAGCAGTACAGTGTCGGCCCAAGCAGGCTGCCTTGCGGTAGTCCTGCCTTGATGGTCTTGGTCAAAGAAGCTGAACCATCCTGGACTACACGTCAGGTCCTCTCCATCAGAAAGCTTTTGGTACATACAGCTGAGGGTTGAGCAGCATTTTGCTCTTGGCGAGTAGTTCCTGGTGCCACACCCGGTTGAAATCCTGCGAAATCCTGTGCAGTTGTTGGGGTGTGACGTGCTGAAGTCTGAACCCGAATTGGTAGTTTGGCATGGCTGTTTTGACCAGCGGCGACTCCAGTACCCTTCGTAGGATGCAGCGCTAAAATATTTTGCCAAAAGTCTACAAGAGACTAAATGTCTATGGTTGTTGAGGTCTTCCAGTGGTTTTCCTGGCTTTGGCAACATTATTATGTGGGCACATCTCCGACTTCTGGAAGTATGCTAATCCTAGCGACGCGTTAAACATTAGCAAAAGATATAGAATCGCTTTGTTTGGTAGCACTTTTGACACAACATTGTCATTGTCGTCGCCAGAGGCCTTCTTGGAGTTTCTTAATGTCCTCCGAGATATCTTGAAGGGAGCACCATCTGGTGGGTCTCATTCAGCTTCTCAGTGACCATTATTGCTCTTCTACTTGATGTCGTCCGGAATGGTGGGAATCTTTCTTTCAGGTTCGTTGCAAAAACCTCCAAACTGTCCAATGCTGTTCTTGCCCATGAGCCTTACCAGAATGCGAGGTTTATGTTGCCGATTGTAGCGTCCTGTCAGCTTCCAAACTACGTAGTTTGAGTGTACATCTGCTGTGGCCTCCGATAGCAGTCTATCCGTGGCCTCGATCTTCTGTTTCGTCAATTTCTTCTACTGAAGACTCTGTCAATCTGCGGATTATTGGTGTGTGCTCGTGTACTCGCGCCTGAGTCGTTTCTTGAGCAGAAGAAGCCCTTCGATCTCACTTGAAGTGCCGCTTCTATGGTTTCCAGTCTCTGAAGTTCGACTGCCTTGAGGGCCGCAGGTGGTAGCAGCTGCAGAAGCGTCACAGACTTTGGTCACAAGAGTGTGGACTGCAGCATCTACATCTTGAGCAGTCCCTAAATATGTGTGTAAGTCTATCGAGCTACCCAGAATTTCCTTGGACAAGGGAGACAGGCATGAGTCTACGCAGGAGGGCATGGATCTCTGAAACGGTGTGTAGTAAGTGGTGCATCCTGTGGCCAGAATTTGAGTCGACCCATTGGTTATGGGCGTTATGCAGCGCCAACCCTATGCGGTCTCCTTTGTTATTGCTCCAAATTCAGTACTTCGCATTAAAGTTTTCTCTAGTGATAAATTTTTTACCCAGTTGGGCCAGAAGATTGTCAAAATCAGTGCTAGACCAGGCAATCTAGGGGGGCAAGTAGGCTGCAGCAATGAGGATCTCTCCGCGTATCGTTGAAACCATGACCGCCGCAAGATGAATCGGCCCCAATTGCACAGCGTGTTGGTGGTAGTGGGAAATATCCTTCCGAAAGAGTACAGCTGCTCCTCCTCTGGCCCTGCTGAAAGGGTGGTCGGCTCTGTATTACTCGTTTGTTTTAGCTACTAAGATGATTTCAATGTTATGACGTTGCAAAAATAGAGCCAGATCATTAGTGCTACGTACCAGGCTACGGGCGTTGCAAAATCCGAAATCCAAAATATATTTAAAAATTTCGACCAACCCCCCTCCGCCCCCAAAAAATACGAAATGTGGCATCCACAATTTTGAACATATAAAAGAAAATTCATTATTATTACAACCATTATCTGGCTACGCAGTGCCCGACGACACGTTGTGCCAGATTTTCTGTCTTACTGACTATGTATAGGGTATAAATTTAGAGTTGCGGTCGCAGAAACTCACAACGTTCACCCCCATTTTCGAAAGCATTTGTGATAATGTTTACATTTTATATAGGCAAAAATTAAACTTTAGAATTCAATTAAAAAAGAACCATCTGTGACCGCCAAATATTTTATGCACGTAATTTCTTAGTAAGCCGGGGTCCATTTTATGATATTACGCCCGTATATCGAACCAAGCGGTTTCTTTGATTCCGCTGACTCCCTTTGTCATCCTCTTCTAGTGGAAGCGTTTGCGTAGGGGGTTTACTCAAATGAATATTATTATATTTTAATATTACGTAATATCACTTACAGAAATACAACGAAATAGGGAATTCTACAAGAATGCTGATGTACGACCTCCTTTTACTTATGCGTCTCTCATAAGACAGGTATGTTATATGGCGGTTACCAATATAAATATTAGTTAAAAATATATTATTACTACATGGCCTTATTACACTTCAACAATTGTTGCCGGGTTGTTAGAAGCAACAACTTCGAATTTTTTTCGACACTTTTACACATTTTGGGAGTGGGCGCACTTTTAAAAGCGTGTCGCAAAATGTCACAATGTCCCAAAAATTAGTGTCCCACGCCTACGGGCGTTATGACATGTACCCGTAATCAACGGCACCTCTTTTTTTATTTTATTTTTTACAGGCCATCATTGATTCTCCAGACAAACAGCTAACACTGAATGAAATATATAATTGGTTTCAAAATACTTTTTGTTACTTTCGTCGTAACGCAGCTACTTGGAAGGTAACTATTTTTGTAACGTTCTTTCAGTCAAAGTATATTAAAGATAAACTATTTAATAAAAATACATTCATATGTATGTATGTATTTGTATGTAGTTTGGATACGGACGTTTTGAATGGATTAAGATGTAATTTAGATCTTTTTATAATGAAATAATCTTCTAATTATTATTATGCAAAAGTTACATATACTATCCGTGTTAATGAGCCGCTTGATCTCAAGGACCACGGCTAATCATAAAGAAGTATATGTACAATAGGTCTACGTATGTTTTAACTCCTATGTAAAACTCTTTACTCGGGGTTTTTTACGGTCGCTGATTGAATTTGAAGTCAGTTTTTAAAAAAGAATAAGTGCAATTTTCGAACGAATCCGATGCATTTTTCAAATTAGTTTTCACCCTGAACTATGCTTCCGCCATGTTTCCGCCATATTTCCCCCATATTGGTTGTATGCTTACCCCAGGACCAACAACATTCTTTAAGCCGACTAGTTTTTACGTGTACACCATACGTATGTAAATGCATGAAATGAGTATGACGGTCCAGGGTTAAAAGTCCTGATGACTTAGTGAAAAACAGATTCGGATTCAGGGACTCCAAAAACATAAGGAATACATAGTTTGTAGAGCTTATAGGAAAAAACATGATTTAATCGATTAAATCGGGGAGGAACAGAACATTTTTTATTTTTGAGATCCATGGCCTTATTGATCAAGAACTCACTGGCTACTGCCTGCAAATAACAACTTATTAACATTATATTGTTCGGCTATAAGGTTCCAGCTCGGCTGAAAATCCTCTCCAATACCGTTGAGCATGCTGGAATGCAAAAATACTGTAAATTTAAAAATAAAATAAAAAGCTGTAGGATTATTCAAGGCGCTCAATCTCAGGAGCCGCGTGGGATTTTTCCGAATGAATACGCCGTCTAGGAAAGAGGAGCCATACTGACTGAGTGTCGGGTATAAATGTAGAGTGCGGCTCTGGATGAGTGTAACGTCCATAAGGAAGCGAATATATATATAAATATATATAAGAATATATATATATATTCTTAATCAGCAACAATAGCCGAGTCGATTAAGCCATGTCTGTCTGTCATGAGCGCCTAGTGGTCAAAGACTATAAGAGCTATATTTCGCCCCACCCCATTCCGACCACACAAAGAGCAACCAAATTTTGTATCCAAACTTCTGTTAGATCTCACTGTTACAAGTTTATTTCAAAATTTCGCCAACCCTTGCCCCTGACTAAGTATCGGGTATAAATGTAGAGTTGCGGTCGCAGGAGCAACTCACAACGTTCCCCCTAATTTATAGGATAATGTTATACAAGAAATGAGATCCATTTGTACTTCAAAGCTAAGGTCAGGCTGATCAAAACAGTAGGTAAACTTCAAAAATAGTTAAGAAAAACTTTGTTAACTGATTACTCAAAATGAGTATTGGGGTATATTAGATTTGTGGTGAAAATGGATGTGTGTAACGTCCAGAAGGAATCGTTTCCGACCCCATTAAGTATATATATTCTTGATCAGCATCAATAGCCGAGTCGATTGAGCCCTGTCTGTCTGTCCGTCTGTCCGTCCGTCTGTCCGTCCGTCCGTCCGTCTGTCCGTCCGTCTGTCCGTCCGTCCGTCCGTCCGTCCGTCCGTCTGTCCGTCCATATCAGCGCCTAGTGCTCAAAGACTATAAGAGCTAGAGCAACGACGTTTTAAACTTCGCCCCACCTTCATCCGCCCCCTTCATCCGCCTCTCCCGAACGCACACATTTCCGATTGGGTATCGGGTATTAATGTAAAGTTACGGTCGCCGCAGCAACTCACAAAGTTCCTCCTCGTTTTTTGTGGGACTATGTTATTTCTGAAAATATTCAACGTGTCGAACAAGCCCGGTTTTCAGTTACTTTTCGGTATTACGTTTTGAGCCAAAACGTTTCATTTTCGTTTTTAGGTGCTCCCGTTTTCACAAATTTGTTGTACCGATATGTTTCAATTTTTCATTGATTCTGTTTATATAACATGTCTGACGAGCTGTGATTAACAGAATGCATGTTGAAAATTAGGTTGCTAATGGTCAATAAATTAGTTTGTTGCAAAAACATTTTTAGTTAAGTGTGTCGGGAAACAGCTGTCTTTACCCAGATGTTCTGTGTCGCGTATGTTACGAGAACTGCCTGTGCTGTTGCGCGCATATTTATGCTGTTTTACGCTAAAATTAATTCTTGCAAACGTTCGCATAACAAAATCAGATGGCGTCAGCTGTTTGCACGAAAACGAAAAGTGTTTTTATTTTGAAAACGGAGAAATCTTGCGGATTGTGAAAACGGGAGCACCAATTTATATGATTTCTAAAACTTTTGTAAAAGTAAAAACCAGAGCCTGGCTGATTGTATAAGTTACATAAAGTTAGAAAGGCTAATTGTTCATTGTATAGGCTTAAGCTCCAAAGACCGCGATTTATCCAGAATTTATGTGCAGAAGATTTTGCTTTCGGAAATGGTTATTTTGGCCCCTATACAAACCCATAACAGTAAATATAGTAAAATCAATATATTAGATTAATATAAAAATTCTCCTTATATGTATGTATATTCCCGAGGATTACTATTTCACGATCGATCGAACAACTAGTATTTTAAGATGGACTTTTTGCACACCTGTAGGTGAATAAATAATTATTCTAGATGCTTTCAATACATGGAGTAAAGCATCTTTGACATCAATAAGCATATACTTTTGTTCATGACGAGCTAGAATACGATAAGCTGTTTCCGTCTGTTTTTTTTTACAAACTATTCCCAATATAAACTATTTTGGTTGATGCATTTATTAAAAGTATATGTCGGAACCACCAATATCGAATAATTGGTATAATTTCTGCCATCGTAAAACAAAAACAGAAACAAGGCTTTTGCGAGAAATTTTATTTGTTTGTCAAAATAACTTAATCCACAATCTATTTAGATATATTATTCATTTGATCAAAGTCGAATGCCCGTATTATGATTATATTATATTACTACCAAAGTAGTACGAATGTTCGGCAAGGGTATCAACAGCATGGGCCCCCGAATCTAGATATTCATTCTTAATTAGTGAATTTGTATGAATAAATGCATAACCAGATAAATCTTGTAATATAAGCTAATCAAATAAACGTACTATGTAGAATGCAGTTCGGCATAATCTGTCGCTTCATAAATGCTTTATGCGTGTTGAGAATGTAAAAGGAGCAGTTTGGACGGTTGATGAAATCGAGTTTTACAAACGACGACCACAGCGTACAACTAGCATTGGTAACAACTTACAAGGAGCTACAAATTTGCCTGATGCAAACTATTTCGTAGCTCTGAATTTTGGGTACGTGGGTTTTTTTTCTAACTGTTTATTCATCCTTTGCTCCTGCATTTTGTTCTCGAAATTTATTGTGTAAAATTTATAACTAAATTGCATGATGAATACGAAATAAATAATTGTAAAATCGTAGGTACCGTAAAAAATGCGTTGGTGTGGAGTGTTTTAGTCCGTTTTAGATTAATTGTAACAAATAATTTAACGCTTTAAAAGGATGATATAGGTTTCAGTTATAGTATTATAGGTGAAGTAGTCAATTTTGTAATTTTACCCATTTGCACTTAGTTAATTTTTAGACCCTTGAAGCGGACATTGGTCAGAAGTTTGAAACGCACTGAAGGTTTAATCTTAAACCACATGTGCACCTTTATCCTGGATCAGAATCACTGAGTAGATATAGCGGTTTTTGTTTGTCTGTCCATCTGATTCTAAACAACCTTATTTATGAAGCTAACTTAACAAAAAATTGCTTGTTGCCGGTTTATACTTTTGATAAAACTTTAAAATTTACATTTGAACACGCAAAAATTGCTTCCGTTTTCAACAAAAAAAAACATTTTTCTCACCAAACTGAAAAGTAAAGGGCATTTTATACAACAAAACAAATCTTAATTGAAAATGAAACAAAAATATTTAATATAAATACATTTATAATGTTTATTTGACACAGTTACTAGAGCAATTAACCTCAAATTTAGCTTTGAAAGAATTGGAGTGGCCAAAAAAACCTTGCGTTTAAGTGCGTCACAGCTGTCAATAGACCGATTTGGTTATATGAACGTCGGAACAGAAGCTTTTGTGCGCGTAACACAACAAAATTTGTGCTTAACGGACATCAGAAAATTAAACATATCGATAAAAAAAAAAATGAGCGAAAACGCAGTAATGGCAACGGACCGTTTTCGTTGATAGCGCAAGGCGTAAAAGTTTTTGAAAACTTTTCCGTTGACGTCGTAAATAAATGCTTCCATCAGCTTCTCTTTACTTTTAACTGTTCGTTGTTCGTTCGTTAACGTCGGAAGTTCGTTCTGCCTGAAAGAAGATTCTCCTTCCTTCTTAACCCTGAAGGGCACCTTCCTTCATGAAAGGACGAGGCAGCTGAAGAGCCCGGAATTTGGATGTAGTTTTGGTGTGAACTGCAGCGTCGATCTTTTTTTACAATGCTTTTAAAAGCAGCTCAAGTCGACTCGTAGGTCCCCAAGATTATATTTTGACTAGAGTGACCCCATTGCATTATGATGGCCTCCCCGCGGTGTTCCCTGGGTACCAATTTAATGTGTTTAGATCATAAGCTCACGTATATACTGACTGAGTACCGGGTATAAAGTAGTATACACGTTCCCCCTCGTTTTAAACTTTTTTCAACGTTTTTTTCCGTGCTCCAGTTAAATATAAATATGTATCAGTTATCCATCTCGAAACGGTGAAATGATTTCTATTAATCCAAATATTAATATTATTATAAAATGAAATGACCCTCAAAGTTATGACGGTCGCAAACAGTGGCAAATAATTGTATATTCTATATTAGTTATTAAGCTTTTTCTAAATTCATTTAGTTAGCATGTGGCAAAAGCGGGCATGAAAGAAGTTGTTGGGCACAATACACCGGCATGCAACACCATATTACGCTTCGAACCAAACCGATTTTTATACCCGATACTCAAAATGAGTATAGGGGGTGTATTAGATTTGTGGGGAAAGTGGATGTGTGTAACGCCCAGAAGAGAGCGTTTCCAAGCCCAAGTGTATATACATATATGTATTCTAGATCAGCATCAACAGCCGAGTCGATATAGCCATGTCTCTCTGTCCGTTCGTCTTTCTTTACGAGAAAAACAAAAAAGCAGAATCATAGAGAATGACCATATCTGCCGAATCTGGATTAGATCGGATTATTATTGTAGAGAGAAGGCACAAATCAATTGGCAGTGACTACATAACGTCCGTACACTTAAAAGTTCGTTTAAAAATAATATCTATGCAGCCGTTTGACCAAACATTTAAATACCGTTCGGTGCCTTCCAAAATGCCATTTGGACGTTAAAAACTGTTACAAAATTTGACTATTTAAAAAAAAAAGTTTTTATTCCGAGGAGCGGAATTTAACGGTAAAACGGTAACGACATTAGAATGTTTTGGTGAAACTGCTGCACCTTTGCCGTTTATCAATAGATTTTTACAAAGGATATTTTAAACAAAGTCTAATTACGGTGGCTATCAAACCCTTCCGACGTTTTCTTAGTTTCTAATGTCAACATTTAGAAAGAAAAAAAATAACACAAAAAAGAATTTTGAATTTGAAAGCATAATATTTTCCTGATGATAAGCTAGAGCTCCAAATTATATTGGTCCTATTGAAAGCACTTATCAGCTTTTCAGTATTGAAAAGTTCAATAGAGCCAGATGTAAACTGAAATTTGAATTTAATTAAATCATTACAATTTTTATCAACTATCAGAAAATTTCGCTATGGTTCGAATCGTTAATATAAATATGTACGAAATCTTTTTATGTAGATTTCTACAGAAGAGCCGGGGCTTCTGATCCATTATTTACATTTCCTTAAATTTAGCTGATCGAACATCAGGCTTTGAAGGGTCTCAAACCTTTCAGATCTGCAATAAAATAAAAAATATTAATGTATTTTTACTAGCCAGGTTATAAATAATAATAACGGATCACTTAGAAAAGATTCCAATTCATTGCCGTGGCTGGAGACTATTAACACCACTATTTTATCGTTTCCCCATTATATCTCTGTCTTTTAGCAAAGTTAGTAGGCAAAGTCTAATACAATACGGCCTTTACTGAACCCATACAGAAGTCCAAAACAGATAGCAAAACCAAAAACTTGCATTTTTCAATATAGCTGGAGTATACTACAGCTAGTTTTAAAGAACTTTGCAATTCAAAAAACTAACGGTTGTAGCTATCCTAACTATAAGAAGCATCACAATCACAACAAATCGATTTATAAAAAAAGCTTGAGTGTGATTTTTAGTTTTTTGGGATGTTGAGTATAAAATTGACTTCTCAATATGCCTTTTCTCCATTCTATTACAATGCATGTTCCTGCTTTCGACTCTTGACGACTCTCGATTATTTTATAAATAACATTACTATAAATAACTGCAATGCATAACGAAGAATGCGATACGTACCAATCTATCGCTACACAAATGTTTTGTGCGATATGAAGATGACTTCGGCTCTTTTTGGATGGTCGACGATAACGAGTTTGTTAAAAGGCGACACTTATCGCGAGGACGACCCCGGAAATATGAGCCGTCGTCTTCGCCTAGTTCGTGCCAATCTGGCAATGGCTTGTCTACTGACAAAAATCACTGCGATAACTGCCCTCAGAGTTTGTCAAATCATACCGGCAGTTCCGAAACTGATATCAACCAATTAAGCAGTCTACCGTTTTGTGGAATTGATGCTTTAAGTAAAACTTCAACACGTTTTACAAGTATTGATACGGTCGTAACTGATAATAGCCATATAAATATGGAAGATTATTTACCCAAAATATATGAGAGTAACGCCATTGTGGATAATCGATCAAGTTAAATATACATACTTAAATGCATTTTCATCTCAAAACTGTAAGGTTCGGGTTCGGAAATGATAACTGAATTTTTTTTGTATATTTCCGAATTTCGTTTAGAGAACAACTGTTTTAGATTATTAAAATTAAAAGTAAATTACGTTAACACTAATTTAAAATAACAAATTATTTCTAGTTCTAAGAAGATTGTAAAACAAGGGTATTTTGCTCCTGAAACCCTGTGACTTACAATCACCAAAATAATAAAATTTAATTATATTTTTAGAATTCATATAATCTTTCTTGTACAGTTTATAGAGACTATAAGGTAAATAATTTTTAGCGAAGAAGGACAAATTTCTGAATCTTTCATCGAGGCCTTGCAAAACTCTTATCTCCAAATTCCATTCATGCTCGATTTTCCGAAAATGTATACCCTTCTTTTTATTGCGTATAGCGTTATGAAAATAGATAATTTATATTTTGATGACAAAACGGAAAACACCACATTTTTACAAATCAACTGTTGAGCTACTGAACTTTCTCAGCAGCGTAGTTTGTATTTAGTATTAATTTAATAATTGTTCACCAATGTAAAGGTGTTTATTGTGGTGTGTTTTTAGGGAAGGAACTACTGGCGGAGGGGTGTCATACTGAGTGAGTATTGAGTATAAATGTAGAGTCGCGGCACTAGCTGCAATTACGAGAAAGGTATGTGAAAATTAGAAATGTAAAAGGAGGAGGTGGGAGGGTGTTTTCGTTGCTGCGGTAGGCCTTGAGGTCGGCTAGGCCGGCCGTTCGTCGCTGTCTTCCAGGATGCTTCTGGAGTCGTGCTATAGTGAGAGAAATAAATTAAACTACTTTGTAGGGCCCCTCATATTTGGGAGCCAGTTTTGCGGCAAAGTGATGGGCGGGTGATGTTGGCGAGTGTCCCGATCGTGGGTCTCCATTCGCTCCGACGTATGTAGTAGGTCATGCTCTGCGTTTGTGACGCCTGCTGGGTATTTTCCTGTACGATGGCGAAGATTTCCTTGAGTCGCTTGGCCTTGTCGGTTGGGGTCTCTGTCACCTCGCCTAGTCCTGGGGTCGTCTCTTAGTGCACGATGAATGCTGGGTGGTGTCCGATGTGCTACTGTTGATTGCCAGGCTGAGTTCGGGCAGCAACTCGTCCCAAGTCCGTTGGTCTCCATCGATGTACTGGGCGATCATGGTTTTGATCGTTCTGTTGGCTCGTTCCGTGGGGTTTTGTTGTGGGGTTTAGGGCGCCGTTTACTCCAATTCCCGGAAAGCTGTCTCCAGTAGTGCGGTGGTGGCCTTGCGAAGTGGTACCAACTCCACCCACTTGCTGAAGGCCTCGAAGAACACCAGCAATATAGTATTGCCGTGCTTCGATCGTGGCAGGGGTCCGACGAAGTCGGCGCAGACGATGTCCAGTGGTTCTTGGGCATGGCGGGTGTGCATCTTCCCTCCTGGTTTAGTTTGACTCGTCTTGTACCGCTGGCACTTGGTACACTGTCGTATATACCGGGCACCATAGACAAACAAAAAACTATAATTTAAAAGTTGTAAGACTCCAAATCTTTACGAAAAAGTCGGGTTGGTTCGAAGCGTAAATATGGTGTTGCATAGAATTGGTGCTAAGGTTGATTTTGGGCAACTAAAAGTTTGTCAAGAATCGTCTCTTTCTTACAAAAAATAGTAAAGTAAAACATGACTATAAAAATACCAATAAAATTAACTTATTGTTAATTTTAATAGGTTTTCAGATCAAAACTTTTGATATTGTATGTCATTTGGTTAAATTAGCTGATTTTAATATTTTTAGAAAATCACATCGGGGCAAAATTATATGGAAGTATGTTTTTATTGACTTTTAATTTTTTGACTTTGGTGTACTTGTTGTGTTAAATGCCCATATATTAAATCCTTAATTAATAAAATTACTATATATTTTTACATATATTTATTTTTTGCTGATAGTATTTGATAAGAAGGTTTCTAGCCACTTTTCAATCACTGGCAGATTTTGATCGCTCCATTGCGCTTCCTCTTTGATATTTCGAAGGGATTTTTCAATTATATGCTGAGCACTTCCGAATTGTCCAACATGTTGATCATAGAAATCCTTAACCATATTATATCCCTTTTGAGTTGCAAACATTCCAGTCGCTGAGCTTATTAATTTATCCCACAGATTAGTTTTGGTTTGAAACCTTAAAAGAAATATTAATGACATGCTTTTGATTTATCTTTTTTTCCAGAGTTTTGTAAATGTGATCATATAGTGTAGTTTACATTAGTTCTTACTTAAATTCAAGTGTCAAATTTCATATACTAACACTTATTACAGAAAATAATGTTAGAATTTGTACTTTAAGAAGGGGAAGGAATGGTATATAGAACTATAATCCGAGCATAAGACCCATACAAATACGAAAATACATGCCAACCTAAGTCATTCCAATATATTTTGTGACATATCCGTAACTCTCCACTTCACATACACATTATGTTGATGTCCAATTCACCCACCCCATCCACAAAAGTAACAGGACACCACCCAAGAATCAATAACTGATTCTTCCCACACTCCAGCTAGAGTCCACTAAACTAAACAATGGACCCCATTGATTCATCAACGCCATCAACGTGGGAGTAGATCCAACCAACCTTCTAAAAGAATGAGAGAAAGCCAGAGTAGTCAAATAAAAATGGACGTAAATTTTCACCAAGCCGCCTTGGACGAAACCTATGTAAACATTACTATTAATAAAAGAATATTGAGGTGTATTGCTTATTCGGGATCATCGATCAACATCATGAAAGAGAACTGCACAGATTCCGAGATAAAAGACGATTACCTTACAGTCCATACCATCGATGGACCTGTCCGTTTAACTAAAAGTATAATGAGGAATGCAAACAAAACATATCCGTCCGAACAAAAGTTCTACATTAACAACTTTTCCGAAAATTATGATATTTTATTAGGAAGAGAATACTTGATAGTACGTAAAGCCGTCATCCATTACAGAAATGAAACTGAAACATTAGGAGCTAGGTCGTACCCAATCATTCAGAGTGGAGAAGCTACAGACGGTCTACAGACGACCATACAAATATGCCCAGATACATGATAAGGAGGTAAATCAGAAAATCAAAGACATGATCAGGCAGGGAATAATTCGAAAGTCAAATTCTCCTTACTGCTCGCCCATATCTATGATTCCGAAAAATAGACGCTTCAGGAAAGCAAATATAGTAGACTATAGAAAGCTAAATGAAATAACAATTAAGGACAAGTTCCCAACTCCAAGAATGGATGAAATCCTAGACAAACTAGGTAAATGTCAGTATTTCACGACAATCGATTTAGCAAAAGGTTTCCATCAAATACCCATGGAACCTAGCTCAATCCCCAAATCTGCGTTCTCCACTAAGCATGGACATTACGAGTTCACTCGTATGCCTTTTGGGCTAACCACTGCCCCCGCTACCTTCCAAAGATGTATGAACAATCTGCTAGAAGAATTAAGCTTCAAGGATTGCTTCGTATACATAGATGACATCATTATATTCTCCACTTCCTTAGAAGAACACCTGTTGTCACTAAGAAGAGTATTTGGAAAGTTTGGAGAGGTCAATTTGAAATCACAAATGGATAAATGTGAATTCTTGAAAAAGGAAACTGAATTCCTAGGTCATGTAGTCACTATTGAAGGAATAATACCAAGTCCAGGCAAAATCTCTGTCATAATCAAATTTCCAATTCCGAAGACCACTATAAAAATAAAGTCTTTCATAGGCCTGTACGGATTCCTAACTGTATAATAATGATACGATCCAATTCAGATTCTGCAGTCTGTAAGATATAGTCATTGTCTACGCGTTTTGCGTTTTCTGTTTTCTCGTATCTGGGAAATTGTGGATGCCACAGATTTTCGCCCTTTGTGGTGGCGGAAGTGGTCGGGGCAAAGTTTTGAAACGGACGGACGGCCTGACAGACAGACATGGCTCAATCGACTAAGCTATTGATTCTGATCAAGAATATATATACCTTATGGGGTCGGAAACGCTTCGTTCTGGACGTTACACACATCCATTTTCACCACAAATCTAATATACCCCAATACTCATTTTGAGTATCGGGTGTAAGAACTACAAAGAGAGATGAGTGGTCTAAAAATAGCCAAACGAAATAAGAGAGGCCTGGTAAATATAGTAGGAACA